AGTGATGAATGAATATTGGCAAATAATTTCGGAAAACCGTGCACGTGCCCAGTGTGCATTCCTATCTTCATTCTCTAACATTTCGAAATGAATCGTTGCTAATTCACAATTCAATTGTTTATAAAAAATTTGCTTCTGCTGAAGAATAAGCTTTAATTAAATAAACTGGATTATTTTCTTTCTTAGTACGTTTAAAAAAATGTAGAATTACATCGATATTATCAATATGATTAAAATACTTATCAGTATAAGATTTACGTATCCAATGAATATGACGGTCAATGCCATAGTGTACAGAGTTAACAAGAGCACGAGCAGTCTGACATATTTTAACTGTTCTATCATTTGCAATCCACTCAATTTGTCCATTTCCACTTATTGTACCAACAAATCGGTTGTTATTAAATGAACGATGAAATAATTGTTGAGTTTCTAGATTAGACGCTTCATCGTATGGTACACATTTATGTTTATTTATAATTGATCGACTAGCACCAAATTCTACTAATAATTGAACAATTTCTTGATGATCATAATATGAAGCTACGTGAAGTGCAGTTGAATCTGTTAGTTCTAAACGATTAACTTGTTCCATTGTCATTGTAAACCTTTTACTTCATTTATAGCATTGTTACGATAAGCAAAACAAAGATCACTACGTTGTCTTGATGCGGTCATTTATTTTTCAAGATCTTGTCACTAAGTAATTTCTTTGTGTCTTTTGGTGGGTTGAATTGGTTTTCGACTAGTATCGTTTTAGAAATCGGTACCAGTATGGCGTCAAATGAACCGACTACACATGAGTGTTTTACTTGCGAAATATCTGATGAAAAAATAAGCAGAGGACTTGTCTCATGTGTTGGTTGTGGAAATGTCTTTTGCCGTACACTGCTCATTAGTGGTCACTTTCAATTCAACTGGATCATATACTGTACCAATATGATTTACTTCGAACGAACAAGTCGTGCCTTGCCTTTTTTATGCGCCATTGCCATTTGATAGAGGAGATAGCGTTGACGAAAATGTATTTCTCGATTTTTTTAGACACTTGCCTCCGGTTCAAGAACTCGAAATGCTCGAAAGAGATCAAAAATCCAAATTTTTCTGGTCATTTCTGAAATTCGCTGTTTGAAGTTATGTTGCGAACTGGAACATTTTAACTTTGTTTTTCTGATTCAGCATCGAAAATTGAATAGGAAAATATTCTCAGAACATTTTTAGAATGTAATGCCTATCCCCTCCTACCCCCTTATAACTTCATATATTTTTAAATATTATGATTTCTAGAGTCTGCTCCATATAAATTCATTTGTGAATCAAATATAAATTGACTGGAAGCATAGAGTTGGTTACTACAACTTTCAGCTACACATGTACGAGCTATTATCCGACCAGTTCTGATATTAAAACAACAAACAAGAGATAAAATCTCTTGTAACTTTCTGTATGGTGAAGAGCACAAAAATGCAAAAACGACTTTCAGGCAATGCGACCTTTCATTGATCTTTGTAAAAAAAATTATTTTATTTCTATAGCGTAAAATCTATTCTCGCTACATTACTTCCACTCTTACCTGGTCAAATTCCAGATATCACCAGGGAAAAGTAGAATCGGCAGATGTATGCATTCGAACGCATTTTGCACGAAGTCAGGTGAATTTAACAAGATATTTGGATTACTTTCACTTCGTGTGTTTACATTTAATAGCTATAGCTATGGTCTATGGTATGAAGGTTTTTAGAAAAGTTTCCTGATAGCATTGAAAAACTGACTTTTCGAAAAATTTCACCTACTGATAAAAAATAAGATGTAAAAACATTTTCAACAACACTAGAATGTAGATCAAACATTTCGATCAAAAGGAGATATCTCCCAGCGTCCGATGATGTTTTGATCAAAAGTTATGAGGGTTTTGCTAGAAGCCCTAGAATATCAGACGCCAGCTTCATCGTATCTCGAAAGTGACATTCACCTTAACAGCATTGAAACGTAGCTCCTTAGAAAAGCGGTTCGGTGGCACCCACAGGAACGAATATTATGTTAAAAATCGTCTATAATCTCAAACCAGATCTGTCACTGTATGGATTTTTAAAAAGACTTTTTTTCTGCACTTACGAGGGAAGGACCCAAGTGTGAACCACCGTTTCGAGTGGGAGATATCCCAGTTTGTAGAGCTCGACGAGTTGATTCTAGTGACATAAAGCATTTTTCCCAATGTCTCTTGAAGACCCACTTTTTCAGAAACTTTAAAAAATAACCAAAACATTTTTAAATAAGACATAATTGTAGCGCGCACATTTCTGATTATAATGAGACATCCCCCAGCTCTACATGACGTTTATTTGCAAAGTTATAGAATTTACAAGAAAAGCCCTGAATTAATTTCTTCTTATTTCTGTAGCTATGAGCTGACAACGAACATTTAGGGCTTTTCTTGTAAATTCCATAACTTTTCAAAAAAACGTTATGTAGAGCTGGGGGATGTCTCATTATAATCAGAAATGTGCGCGCTACAATTATGTCTTACTTAAAAATGTTTTGGTTATTTTTTAAAGTTTCTGAAAAACTGGTTTTCTAGAAAACTGGATCTTCAAAACACATTAGGAAAAATGTTTTATGCCACTAGAATCAACTCGTCGAGCTCTACAAACTGGAATATCTCCCATCCGAAACGGTGATTCACACTTGGGGATCTTCCCTCGTTAGTGCCATCCCAAACAGATACTTTCAGTAAAATGAGCCGCCCCTCCACATCCCAACTCGAAACTTTTTCAAGATGTCGTAGAATGTTCTTCTACATGTCCCCCATCTATGGTGAGTGCATAAACATACATAAATGCGCCTAGACCGTACAGCAGGTTTTTCAAAACACCCATAGTTTTCCAGTATTTTCTATTTTTCTCGACTCGGAAACATTATACAATAAAAATGACAAATGTGGGATCAGCGCAATAAACGGCGTCGAATACTGGATCAGTTCCATGTTTTTATGCGCAAACAATCCTTCGATTTAATGAAATGACAGATTTGCAGCATTAACGTAGTAATTTTGGCTAGGCACTAGAATTTTTGATTTATAAGTCGTTTGAAAGCCTGCGAAAAGTATCTGCATAGGTTTTCGTACACGTTCTTTCCAATCGTGTGATTTACAAACCTCAAAACACAGTTTTAGTCGGGTTTTCCAGAGACCGGATTTCCGGAAAACTCTGATAAAAAGATCTTTGAAGTTGTAGATCACACCATTGGAAAGAGTGTACACGAAAACCTATGAAAAGAGCGTTTAGAGTTTTAGAGCTTTCGCATCAGTTTTATTTTAGTTTGCACGTGTTTAGTCAAAACTGCGCACTGTGCAGCTGTACCTAGAGGCTAACAGAGCCCGATTTTCAATATTCGATCTAGATTTTCGGTTAGAGAAGCGTCTTTGCGCAAGTTAAGGAGACTTTTACGAATTTTTGACTTTTGATGCTTACCGTTCTTTCGAAAAGTAAAATATCAAAGATCCGGCTCTCTTAACATCTAGTCACATGTGTTTTCGTCATTTTAAGATCATCTGGAACTCTTCATCAGTTAATTTGACGGAAAAATCTTGGACCTGCGAACAGTCGCATTTTAGCTACTATTGTGGCGATATAGCACGAACGATGGTAGGTTGAATCAAAAAAAACTTCATCACCATACTTTAGTGTGCCAAACATTCTCTCAAATTTTTGTCAGGATTATTTTAAGCTGAGAGTTTAAGTTAAAATTATTAACAATTAAAGCAAAGCACCGGGAAGTTCGTCTGAGACACGGGGGTTTTGACAATTTTTAGATAGGCTTATAGAGAACTTCCTCTATTTACCTGTAAAAGGGCGCAAAAAGATAATTAAAACTAACAGATTTATACGAATTAGAGGTCCAAAAAGCCCAAAATCGTTTCCAATTGCCCCAGTTCACTCTATATGGACACGAATGATCTTTCATTCAACATGCCTATAAAAATATCTTTCTTCTTACGGTTTTTTCTCTATTAGCAAGACAAGAAGCGAAACTTGTTAATCTTTTTCAATATAACAGTCAACAAACACGGTGTTAAATAAGTCATCCTTTAATTTTATGTATAAAAAAAAACGTGTTTGTTCTAGGTGATAAACGTGATATGACATTTGCACAAGAAAGGGTGACAATCTTTCTTTGTTTCTCATGCAGCTGTGCAATTTAACATTAAACAAAAAACGAACATTGGTGAAAAGTTTTGGTCAAGAATTTTATGATTTTAAACTTTATTCTGTTATGATAGATGTCATATTATGATGATTTCATTTATATCATTCTAGATCTAATGGATAATCGCCAGCCACAAGATGAGGGGAAACTATCGGGTTTAGACTTACAACCCGTCGCAGACGAGATACTATCGTTTCCTTTCGCAACAACTGATCATCGTCAAGAAAGACCAGGAATAACAATATTCGATGAAAATGAATTAGACGATATAAAAATTTAGAAATTTATACATTGATATGGTTAGATGCAAATGTAAATAAAGAGGAAGATAATTTATCTTTACAAAATAAACTACGTGAAATTATTAATTATCTCATTTTGTTGCTGAATTTCAAAATTATTTAAAACGGCAACCGTATGAGACTCGTCAAAATATAATTATCATTGTTTCGGGTTCGTACGACCGAGGAATTATACCATCTAACCGTCCAGTACAAACCATTTACATCTATTGTATGGATAAAACAAGCAACATTGAATGGTCACAGCAATTTAAAACAGCAGGAAGTTAGTTTTAACTTTTAACTCGGGGTGAAAATTAAAACTATCCATAATATAGTTATAAATAGTTAAGTTTCAAATGTACTTTTAAACATGAATTATTTCTCTCGCCTAAATATCAAATGTTACCAGGATAACCTGCTAAACTTTTTAAAAGACAAATTAATAACAATCTTCAAATAGAGTAATTATCTCATTAAATATCGATCAGTTTTTTCAGTAATTATATAAGCTATTATAATTACAAATTGATATTATCGGTAGTTAATCGAAAACATTTTAGATGCATCTACCAGATACGTTTAGGACGTCCAGTCGCAGGGAAAGGAGACAGACGGTCTAAATCAGACAAAACTGCGGGGAGATGAGGAGCTGAAGCAATTTCGCACGTCCCGAGCATCACTCTAGAAGCGTATTGTTATCCGATGCATTTTGAATAACAGTAGATAAGAACATAGGGACCTGCAGTTTTGACTGTTGTATACCGAGGATCACGGGTCGGAAACCTGTGGAAAAACCAAAGTCTCAGGTACCTACCAATCGTGTAGGTAGTGTACCCCGATGATCTTCCAAAAACTAGATTCTTCGGGCATGAAGATTACTTTTTTTACTAGGGCTATACAGTCCAAAGTGCCCTCTAGAGATTTGCGCAAGTTCGAGTTCGGTAACTTTCATCGCTGCAGAGAGAACGCAGTTTTGTTGCCACAGTATCTTCATATCTTCAACCAGAAGAATCTCACAAAGGAATGAAAACATAGGTTATGGTCCTCTCTGAGGCTTGTAGCAACGTTAGCTTTTTTTAAGAAACTTCAAAAACCATATTTTTTAACTTACACTACGTTCGGTGTTCGAGCGAAACAGACGAATCGCACTCGTCGTCAGAGCGCTCGCATGTCATTCCTATAAAGTCTCTATAGTTTTCCACAAAACATGTGCGGAACACGACCGCTCGATACGTCCCATACCTAATTATGAATTTTAATAAAGTTTTTAAAATCGATATAAAATACTTTGGTTTTTGAAAAAGTTCGCTAGAAATCTTCCATAGTAAAAGAATATTTTTTACTAATCTTAACTACCGCAGTGAGCAAATAAAGTAGAATAGACCTATATTAGTACATGAAAACATAGGTATCAAAACTATAAACGATACAAGGTGGAAACTTTAGGATTGGACTCCCTAATTTTATTTACCTCAAGAATTTATCTCACTTTCCGAAGTTGTTCTGTTTCCTCCGGCAAAAATAATGTATGAGCGAAGGTCCTGAATGTTCAATCGATTTTTCCTTCAAACATAAACTGAATTTTTCAAGGTTAATTTTCGATGCTGATCATCCTCGCAGTGTCGAATGGACAACGCCAATTGGCGGCTAAACGAAGCTCTGATGAGCGTTTACAGGACTAGTCATCCGAGGGGTGCTCTCAACGACTCCGAAATCAACAATCGAAGAACCCATTCCGGGCAACAAAAACTCTTACTCGTCTTATCACAGCGCGAAGAGATCAAAATCATCGCACATGATAGAGCAGTCACCTGTTCTTGACAATACCGCGGCGAGACTGCGATAAAAACACGACAATGTATCATGAGGCCATTATAATATCAACATACAACGTGCTGACTATGAAAAAGGCCGGCAAATTACACCAATTGATCCATGGTTGCGTAGAATATGACATTCAAATAGTCGCCATTCAAGAACACCATTGGCAGACTACAGTCTTAGTCGATCCGCACATAGAAACACTCGACTAGGAAGAGTGGCGTTTCGAATACTGCTATGCAACACCAATAGGGCAAGGTGGCGTCGGTCTTCGAATCAATAGCAAAATAGTAAAACTACTTTAAACAACAGAGGAAGTCTCCGATCGCATTTTGGTGGCACACTTCGCAAGCAACCTAGCGACGACCATCATCACTGTGTATGCACCAGCTGGAGATGACTGGACCTGGCAAAATCCAACATCGAAATAGCTCAGTTCGGGTAAGCGATGGAACCTTTGTTCAACGAGGTTGGATGGAAAATTAAAAACTAAACAAACGTAAGGGTTAACAATTCTGCATCTTTTTCTAATCGCAAACTTTTTTATGAGAGGTTTTCATCGGCAGAAACTGATAAGAAACTGCCAGCTTTCTAGCTATTTGCATGGTCGTTTTCATTTACCCCACTAACTTTCACGTACGTATCCAATTGCCCCAAATGGGATAATTGGAAATATTTGAAAAATTCCTCAGGGTTTACCTTTTTAATTAGAGCGCAGGCTAATTAATTAGTAGAGCTTGGAGATTCTCACCATTTGCACAGCAATAATTGATCTATTTACCTGTGCAAAAATTATTAATTAGTATTGCTGGCTTAACGAGAAAACTGTTTTCTACTAATGAATTATTTCCCGTGTAAAGTACATGGCCTATCCAATTACCCCATCAATTTCTATTGTTGTTTCCAATTGCTCCATTTCAAGTAATTGGAAATATTCGTTAGAGTTTTCAGCAGAACACCGGGAAGTTCGTCTGAGACACGGGGGTTTTGACAATTTTTAGATAGGCTTATAGAGAACTTCCTCTATTTACCTGTAAAAGGGCGCAAAAAGATAATTAAAACTAACAGATTTATACGAATTAGAGGTCCAAAAAGCCCAAAATCGTTTCCAATTGCCCCAGTTCACTCTATATGGACACGAATGATCTTTCATTCAACATGCCTATAAAAATATCTTTCTTCTTACGGTTTTTTCTCTATTAGCAAGACAAGAAGCGAAACTTGTTAATCTTTTTCAATATAACAGTCAACAAACACGGTGTTAAATAAGTCATCCTTTAATTTTATGTATAAAAAAAAACGTGTTTGTTCTAGGTGATAAACGTGATATGACATTTGCACAAGAAAGGGTGACAATCTTTCTTTGTTTCTCATGCAGCTGTGCAATTTAACATTAAACAAAAAACGAACATTGGTGAAAAGTTTTGGTCAAGAATTTTATGATTTTAAACTTTATTCTGTTATGATAGATGTCATATTATGATGATTTCATTTATATCATTCTAGATCTAATGGATAATCGCCAGCCACAAGATGAGGGGAAACTATCGGGTTTAGACTTACAACCCGTCGCAGACGAGATACTATCGTTTCCTTTCGCAACAACTGATCATCGTCAAGAAAGACCAGGAATAACAATATTCGATGAAAATGAATTAGACGATATAAAAATTTAGAAATTTATACATTGATATGGTTAGATGCAAATGTAAATAAAGAGGAAGATAATTTATCTTTACAAAATAAACTACGTGAAATTATTAATTATCTCATTTTGTTGCTGAATTTCAAAATTATTTAAAACGGCAACCGTATGAGACTCGTCAAAATATAATTATCATTGTTTCGGGTTCGTACGACCGAGAAATTATACCGGCCTGATTCCCTCTGAGAATCTCGTCGATAGGGTCTCGTATCCTATTTAAGAGAATTTTGTTGTAAACTTTGACGGCGACCGACATTAGGCTGATGCCTCTGTGGTTGTTCGTCAGAGTTACATCTCCTTTCTTTGTGGAACGATGAGGTTGGTTGTGAACTGCTTTGGCGGTCGTTCTTGCTGGTAAACAGCGTTGCAAATTTTGTAAGGTTCCTTGATGGCCTCTTCTCTTCCGTACTTAAGCGCTTCTGATGTAACTGTGTAGTCGCAGCCAGGTGATTTACTGCTCTTTAGTGCATTCACAACAGAGGTCGTTTCCTCTTGAGTAATCGGACCGGTGTTTATTGTAAGATCTTTTTTGCCTTGATTCGATTGCATGGTCGTTCGAAGGTTGTGCCTCGGCGTTGAGTAGGTTATTGAGCCTACTCAACAGCCACGCCAGTCTTTCAAGAGTTCTTCCGTTGAATTGATATTTGACCCGTCTGTTTTTTTTCATTTCATGCTTTTTGTTGCTTTTGTTTTTGTCGCTGATTTTGTTGCCTAGGGCCGATGTTCTTCTGAAACCGTTTGAGGCTGCTGCTTGTTTGAGTTGGCTTAATTTCCCTCGGAGGAAATCGATTTGGTCTCCCTCATAAGATTTATCAAGCATTTCGTTTAGTTGCTGTCAATGATACTTGGCCATCCCGCTCTGATTTTGTCTGAACGCTTTTGAAACCTAGGGTTTCACTTTTTACCCAGTTTTTTCAGCCTTCTTCTTCAGCTTTTCGAACTTTTCAACTACCTTTTCCTGAATTGACTTTTCGAAGTTGTCCTATTTATCTTGTAAGCCGGCTCTTTTTTGTTACAATGCGTCGAAATGATTCTAAACCGCGATGTTAAATTGACACTGGCGCTGTTGGTTTTGTTATAGTCTACTTCGGTCAAATTTGATTATAGTGCATTTTCGTTCTTTAGGGGCGCGGAGACTGTTTTTGATTTTTGCCCTCACAGAATTGCCAGGGTTTGTTTTTTTGCAGTCCACTGATGATGATGATGGAGTGGGTCTCTGACAATCCATCATAAATTTATTTACGAAGAAATTTTCTGATCGTCAGTTTGCAGAGTCAGTCCATCAAGTTACTAATCTGGAAAAAGATTTTGGAAGTCTCGAACATGTTCTAACCGACTTACACAAGCTTTAATTTCAGCTACATCAAAACCTGAACTTTTCAGCCTCTTTTACAATAAAATTTGTATACTTCGTTAAGGGCCCTCCCCTCTAAAAAATTTTTTTCCCAGAACACTCAATCTTACTGAAATTTTTACTGAATATGTATCTTACCATTGATAATTTTCAGTAAAAACTTGAGCTCATAATATTGAGTTTTTCGCGAGTTATTGTAACATCAAGGGTCAAAAAGTAGGTGTCCGTGTGTCAAAGATTTTGTTTTCGGTTTTAATGATACGGACCTCGGGATGGTGTCAAAATGTAGATAAGACCTACCCCTACAACCTAACAAAGCTGGATTTTTGAAAATTAATTTTTGTTAGACAGTTTTTTCGAAAAACCTAGATTAATTTTTTAGAAAACTCGAGTTTTCTGTAAACAAATAAATTGAAAACAAAATTTTCGACTTTGTTAGGTTGTAGCGCTGATATTTACCTTCATTTTAAAGCCTTCCCGAGCTTTCTAACATTTAAAATGGCAGAGAAATCTTTGACGCACAATCAGGTAAAACAAAAAAACAGTTTCGAGAAAAACGCAAAACAAGTTTCTCCTTTGATTATCGCGGTTTTTTTTGGAAATTGGTACAGAGAAAAGTCTGAGAGCAGTTCGTCATAGGTTATCGGCTATGGCGAATCTAATGAGCACATGTAGAGACATGTGCGACGTACTTTTTCCCATATGTAAGCGTTATTCCCACGGAAAAACCATAAAAATCAATCAGTTTTTGATGTTGGGTGCCTCAGAAAAGCCGCTGTAAAACCCTCAAAAACCATCGTAGAACCAATAAATCATAGTGCATTCGAAAGCAGATATAGTGAGCTATACAACTATGCATAAATGTCCAAATCGAGTTTTTTGTTGAAAAATGCTTTTTTTGAGGGGTGGGGGGCCCTTAAAACTTGGTTGAGACTTCTAGAAATGTTTTCGGGTTCCATCGAAAGAACTTTATCCTTTACGCGTCATCACATTTTTGTTTTGCAGGCGCCGCCAACATATTTTTTGTGTATGATGTTTCCAGTCAAAAGAAAAACCATTTAGTACTCAATCGTAAATTTTTCCAGTTTATTATGTTTAACTATTCTAATATTTAGTTATTATTTTATCTATTATTTTAACTTTTCATCAAAATTTGTTAACGCTTAACTTGTAAAAAATAGTTTTAAACTCTTACATGAGGAATTTATTAACATTTTTACCTAATAGATTAACAAATAAATATTTACGATTAATTTTAGGTCGCAGCTGTAATAACAAAGCCTGATGAATTAATCTTAAAACTTAAAATAGATCAAAAGCAACGAGATTATTCAGAAATTATGATATCAATAACAACATTTAACGGAACCAAACAGAAGAATTTTTTATCAGAAGAAGAGAAAGAGAAAGGATCGAAAATTTATGATGATTTTATGTTTTAACAATTACTAATTGAGTAAATATTATTCCATTCAGTCATCAAAGTCAAATCGAGAAGAATTTATTCAATTGTGGCAACAATGTTATAATGATAATAAAAAACAAATGTCTATTCTTGAAGAATTTCATCGTACTTATACAAAAGGTAATGTTCTATGGTGGTATACACGTAATTGTTGTTTATATAAAAGGTTAAATAAAACTATATGTTCAAATGATATAGAAATGATGATAACATGCCAATTTTTTCTAATTGATTTATATAGGAAGAATTAAAAATTGAACAACAACAACAATTATCAATAACAGAAATTTTTTGTGGAGTATTGATAGATGAATACTATTTGCGTAGCATAGAAAAATCAATCAATAAATATAACTCAATGAATTGTTTTTTATTTGGTTCTGATAATCGACAATTGATTATTGATTTCATTGAAACATCATTATTATTCAGAAATTTTCAAATTATTCAGAAAATTGATATCCATATTGATAATTTATCATATATAAAACCACTTGCGTATATTAATGGTGAACGGTATATCATTAACAATAATAATAACAATGAACAAGAGATTTTATTTATGATTGGTTCAATATTTCAAATAAATAGTATTAAGAGACAGATAAGTATTCAATTATTATTAGATTTTACTGAATCGAATAAATCATTAAAAAAATATTGTGAAGAATCAATAAAGGATACAAATTACATATCTTACAGTTCTTAGATGTTCTTCATTGTCGAATGACTATGTCACAAAGCTTGTTAATCAACATGAAAAATTAATTTTATTTAAACAATTCCAGTTAAATAATAAAAATGAAGAAAATGTTACATCTATTTATGAAACAATTGGTTTATTTTTGGAAGGAAAAAAGAATAATTATAATGCATTAAAATATTATGATTTATCCATGAAAAGTAAAGAAAATTATATGGTAACACGCCTAAATGATACCGATTTATAATGAATTACTTCGTTCATACGTTAATCAAATGAAATATCATGAAGCATTATTATACTATGGAAAAATAATACATATCCGACAAAAATGTTCATCATATATCAAAAACAAATGAAAATATTGCAAATAGGTATAGAAATGGCAAACAATTTGATTTAGCTTTCATTTATTTTCAAAAAGCAATTGAAGTCTATCGTCAGTCGACATAAACAAAGTAACAATATTCTGTTTTTTCTTCTCTGTTTCGTCTAAACCCCCCCCCATAATAGAAGCCTCCCTCATATTAGAAGCCCCCCCGTATTAGAAGCCCCCTCTGGAGCAATCGATGTGGAAGGTGTATTAGAAGCCCAGGGGCTTCTATTACGTCGAAAAAATAATTTAAATTTTTTAAACGACATATTTGATCGACACGCGTTTCTTTACTTTAATTGTTCTTGTGTGATGTCGTGTGTAAAAAAAGGAAACGAAT